TGGAAGGTCAATCAAGAGTTGATTCTTAGTGGCAACAGCATTCATTCATTACTCCATCTGCCTACACAACCAACCATCCAGGTTAGATTAGTACTGGAATGGCCCAGTTGATGTTTTAGTCTGTAATATTTCTGTCCTGTGTGATATGTCGTTTCCTTCAAATTCCTTCACGGTAGCATTTCTGAAGTTCTCACAAATTCTTAATAATTATATTATCCTTGCTGTCAAGGATCCATGAAGTGGTCAATAAAAACAACAAAATCTAGGCTTTCAAAGAACAACCTGGAAGTGCTGGAAAGATCAGTGGTATTCTGAATTAATTTGAGTGTTTTGACCAGATATATAGGAAGGTCAAACCAGTGTAATACAGATGTGAAGAACTGTACGACATTAAGTGCTTGAATGTTTTATAATTCCTTGCATTTTTAATACCTTGCAAGAATAATTTAATGATTGTTAATTAAAACTCAAGGGAAGGTAGGTATAAAATTAATTTTAAAAATTAGCTTTCATGGAGGTATATTTTTACTAACATGATTTTGAACAATTTTGAACTACCTTGCCTCAAAGATCAAATAAATGTGCTTGAGCCGTGTCTCAGACTCTCACTTTCCCCTCTTGCTACATGGAAGACATGGTGTCCAGGGACTGGAAAGTGTTTGTTCAGCCAGTTTATTTTATTTCATTAATTGGTCTTATTGTATTTTAAAGGGCTGTTTATTCAATGAGATGTTCTGTCATACAGCTTCACTGTTTGACAGACAAAACCAGCAAGCCCCAAATTTGCCATACAGTATGATGTTTGCTTTTCCCAGCATGCTGTGGGGGTTTAGCTCACATGTAAACTTGTTGAAAAAAGTTTCCTTAATAAATTCTTATCTTTGAACATGAACTATGAAGTAAAATTTGGAAACTCGGTATGGCGTATTTCCCTTTGCAATTCAGCTCGTATTTCAGAGGAGGAGTAGTCCTGTAAAAGAAATATATTACAAGAATTCTGGCTGTGTTTTCTAGTGGCAGTCATGAAATTGTTAACTGAAGCATCTTTCAGGCCACCATATGGGTCTGCAGTGTATTTTCACTGTGCACAGATTTCTAACAAAAAGCCTATTGTCTAGGACTATAGTTTACCTGGAGAGGAATAATTCTGTGTCTGAAACCTTTCTCATCTCTGGTTACCAGAGCTGTCAGCTGGCCGTGAGCTCTGACACTGCACACAGGGATGTGTTGCGAGCACCACACACTTTTCTCCTTTTCCCCTTTGCTCCCACCCCGAGTCTCAGATGCAGACTGGTTTTGACCTTTTTTTTCTCTGATATTTGTGAGTCTGATATCACCCAAGCCTATGTATGTGCCATGATTTAAATTTACAGAAGCTTCAAAACAAGTTCTCTTTCATAAACTGAAATAAAGGTATGCTTACCTGAATGGGCACCCTGCAGAGGTGCTCTGTGGATGGCTGGAGGAAGTGGAAGAGCAGGAAACTGTTACAGTTACTTCCAGTAACTGGAAGTTGGAGTGAATGGTCAAGTATTTAACCGTGTCTGTACCAATGAGTCTTTGTATGATCATGTACTTAATGGCACTTGAATTATTTTAACTCTTATGTTACTTTAAGTTACTTTACAAACTTCTGTTCCTTAAATGCACACTGTATTTAACAAGTAGCAGCCTCCTTCAGGAAGAAAGATAATTTAGGATGAATAAGGTAATCCACCTGGAAACTGATGAGGCAGTTGGAGCAGAGTAGGAATGAACAGAGTGCAGGAGAAGTCAAGTGCCGGGAAAGTTTTTGGCATCAAAAGAGACAGGTGAGGGAATGAGCTGGATGTGGCCCTGGAACTGAAGAAACTGGAACTGCTGAGAGGGAAGCAGTAACTGGAGATACGTGGTAAGACAAGAAAAAAGGAATCCACAGGCTGAATAAGTTTGCTCCTCAAGGCAAGTTAGGCTGACTTGAGCTTTGCCGCTGCGAGTCCCTGCGGTCTGTCTGTCCTGCTCATAGCTGCTGCTTCCTGCACTCTGCTGCCAGGGGAACCACCTCCACTCCTGAATGAGGTTTAAATCAACTCAGTTTAGATATTCTGACTGTTCCCTGGGGCCTGCCGGTGGCAGAAAATCTACAGTTTCTGGGTTATCTAGGTAGCTGGTGTGTTCATGTAATTCTGATTTTTCTTTTCCCCAGCTGAGTTCTGATATTTTCAGTTGATAGTATATAAACCTCTCAGATTTAATTTTGGCATTAAGAACAACTTGTAGGTAAATCTGGATTTAATATGTAGCTAGTGACAAGCACTGTGAGGCTCTTGAGTACTTTTGGAGTTGTTCCTCTTATACTTGCTGTAGGTTAGCAAATTCTAATAAAATGAAGGTACAGTTGTGCAAATATTTTATTCACTTGTTTCATTTTGTACTTGATAGCACTTCTCTGGAAGATGCCATCAAGAATGGCACTAACCATTCTGAAAAACTAATATATTAATAATTAAGCAGTTTGGATAAGTGTATAAAAATAAATATTTAAGTAAATCAATTTTTATAAAACTGTGTTCTCAAGTAGCATTTCCTGCTGATAAAGAAGTGGAAAAAATAGTAACACTGTGAGGTCACTCCCATAATTAAATAATTATCATTCACTTCTGTCCTATGTCTGACAGAGGTTTTGTAGTTTTCCTTTTGAAAAGGGGACAGATAAATCTGGAACTGACACAAAAATTCAGTAAGTCATAAAAGAGTCTGTGTCCACATTACCGAGCAGAGTGGTGTAATAAGATCAGATTGGTCAGGTGCTGAGAACCTGGCATAAGTGCCATACAGGTGGTGGGAGTTTTATTTCAAGCTGGTCCTGGTCCGATTCTGTGGCTGAATTCCTCTTGGTGGTTGGAGCGTGTACAATGTACACCTGAAGCTCATTCTCTGATCTGATTTTATTCAAAAGGAATCTGGTTCATGTACTTGATGACTGCTTTGCAATGTAAAGCAAAGCAAGGAAAATAGGGTTGTTTGGGAGATGGACTTCAAAAATGCAGTCCTGATTTGAATTAAATGCTAATATAGACATACCTAGAGTTGTACAGATGAGGAAGTTCACCAGAATAAAGTTTTTTAGTAAGAGAGCTTAGATATCTGATCCATGAGCTTGGAATCAGGAAAGGTAATGAATACTTAGAGAATTGAACAGCTACTTCATCAGTTTGGGATTTTGGAAAAATATAAGGAGGACGTGGTTTTAAAAACAAAACAAAAAACCCCTGAGCTGCATTGTTCAGATATGTCTTTACTCTTGTAAAGCAACCACTTTAAATAATATGGAGGGGACTATTTAAATCAGGTACTAGATACAGGGATATTGGGCGTGTTGTAAAAACAGAAAGCACAACTTTTTTTTTGTTGTTCTTTTGGAGTCCATCAGAAGATGGAGGTCCTTGGTTAGAGAGAGGAGAAGATATAGGTGTATTTTACAGATTCTTTATTTAAAAAAAGCAAAAACAATCTCTACAAACACAATTGCATGGCTAGAATTTTTTTTTCAGTTTTACCATGGAAGAAATAAGTCAAGTGTCAGCTTGTCTGCTCAGAGGAGACAGTTGTCTTTAAGAATTGGTGCTATCTGATATTCTGGATGGTTTTGGGTTACCATTTAGCACAAATTTATTATTTATTACCAAGACTATTAAACCTCACTGTATGAGGAGCAGTGCTTGTAAATGGATGTGGAGACAGAAGTATTCTGACCTTCATGTAATGGAAAGGTCTTTATGCTGCTTAGGAAGGAAAAGAGAAGGAGAGTGGATGCTGAAACTGTGCTGGAAATCATACACATGATTTTGATATTCAAAATTCATTCTGTCTCTACACTGTATGTTGTATGTTATTTAACAGTACAGCTGGAATGGTGGTGTTCAAGCCTTTGTGTGATTTTCAAGGTTATGATCCCAGTCATAGGACTGGCACTTCTGAATGGTAAAATTCTTGTAGGATCTTCTGAAAAGCTTCAGATGATGGAAACATTCAGAAATTATGACACTGATAAAATGGGAAAAGTTGGCAATAGGTGGCATCTGCTCACTGTGGAATCAAACTAACAAAGCTGGTAAGCCCATCTTAGCTATCAACAATGCATCTGAAAATGCTGGGACTTGACTCAAGTCAGGCTGGCTCACCGTCCTTAAGAGAACTGGCGAAGAGCCTGTGCCAGGCTTTCCTCTGATGCTGGGATGTACAGCAGTTTAAAAACACAAACCAAAAATCAAACCCACTTGACTGCCAGTACCTTTGTCTAAATTCTTGGCTTGCTTTTCAGTTCCCAGGAGTAATCATGCTTGTGCACAGCTACAAAAAACCTTTCCATTATTTCTCAGTATATTGCAGTTACTGGAACTAATGGTGTGACACCAGTAGATATTTGGTGTGGAGCTGCAGTCTTACAGATTCTGTGGTGCTTATTATAAAGATTGAATTGTGCATGGCTTGTTTTTTCTGTTGGTGTCACCAACAATGTATCCTTTCCTTGGACATTAGGAAGAAGTTCTTCATTGAAAGGGTGATTGGGCATTGGAATGCACTGCCCATGGAGGTGGTGGAGTCACTGTGCCTGGAAGTGTTCTAAGAAAAGACTGGAAGTGGCACTCAGTGCCGTGGTCTAGTTGACAAGGGGGTGTTAGGGCATAGATTGGACGCAATGATCTCAAAGATAGTTTCCAACTAAAGGATAGAAATGTTTTTGTTGGTTCATTTTTAATATGATCAATTACTGATAACAGTAAAATTATTTTTAAATTATTTTTGTGTCAGTGTTTTACAAATATGCTGCAACTGTGCTGCTATTGGATATGCATGACTCTTAGGAAGTTTCTTGCTGGGAGCAGCTCATCATAGGAGATGGTTTCTGTAATTCCAGATACAAGTATCTGCAATGTGCAGTTCATGTTCTAGACTATAAACCATCAACACAGTTTCTTCAGCCATCTCTTTAATCAAATCCTCTTTTTATTTTGCAGATCAGTAGAAATATGCATTTCCATAATACCACATTTGAACTAATGAAGTGGAAGTACAGATGAAAACAGTTTGGAGGAAGCTTGAAGTACAATACAGTTTCATTCAGCTTCCTAATTCGGAGGTAAGGTTAACGCATGCAAAATTTTATTTTGAGTACTTCAGGGATAAAAAGCATATGATAAGCAGCCACCATATGTTATAAAAAATTTCAGAGCCACCTTTTTATGCTAGTGACAGTCTTTCATACCATATTAAAACAGCTGTTTGATCTAATCTCTGTCTGTATCTTAGTTATGAAAAAAGACAACTCAGCCTCAACTACAGAGGCATCTGTTATACAAAGGCACTTTGGAAAAGAGTTATGGTATCAGGCAAATTTTGGTTGGTAGAATCTGCTTAGTCATGAACACTACTAATGCTTTAGTTGATTATTAGTTTAGTCTGTTATTTTTCTGATATGACTGGGAAAAAGCTTTACACAGTGTCAAGTGGCAGGGCATAAGCATAAGTAGATGGGTTGAAAACTGGACACAATACTGTTTTAAAAAGGGAAGCATAAAACGCACACCCCCAGCCACCTTCACAAGTTACTTTTCCTGCCTTCTAGTTCACTGTCTTTTTAAAGATTAGTAGTATTAGAAGCAGTTGAGGGAGGGAGGTTGTTTTTTGCTTTCGCTGTATGCAAATAGCTGTTCTGGCAAAAAATAAAATGGCAACACTACTCCACCACAAAATTTCTCTATCTTCACACAGTTCGTTCTCTTTTTACTAGGGATTATTTGCTTCTAAGTCCACAAACACACAAATGGCAACAGGGGAGCTTATCAGAACCAAATAAAAGCAAGTCCTTGTGCTAATTATTCCTGCTCCTATGTACTGCCTCTTGTTTTCATACCTTTTATGCCTGAATTTCAATAGCAAAGGGATTAAGACAAAGAAAAAATTTGATCATGAATGCCAAAAGAGGGCAGTACTATAAATACCAGATGTGAGCAGTGTACATTGCCCAGGTGTTGATCAGACATTTTATGTGCTTCCTGAGTGAGAGATCAGCAGTATTGTATTTCATTGCCTGACCTGCTTTTAGGTATGTCTTTGAGCCCATTTATGAGTTTGGACACCTACAAAAAACAGTGAAGGTGAGTGTTTTAGTTTTAAATATTTGTTATGTACAAAAGGTGTCTTTTGTTTGCATCTGATTGGTTTACAGAGAGATTGTTAGCTCCTGATTGGTTTACAGAGAGAAATTTTGATTAAATCTATTTGGTTGTCTCTTCTATTTTAGGGTTCAGTGAAGAGTATCAAATGTCTGACAGTTCTCAAGATAGTTTATTTTATCTTTCTTTAATATGGGATCTCTGTAATACAGCCCTTCATTGTGCTAATTCTAATTCTACTTTATTTTATGATTCAGTGTAAGATTTTCTTACCTCTGACTTAGTAGGGTGAATAGCTCTGTTTTAATAACACCTGTGAATTTGTGAATTTCTAATGCAATGCAGCTAGAGAAATTCTGATTATTGCATGTAATCAGTAGGGTTATGTGTGCTCAATTCCCTCCTGCAACTGGTGTCCCATATAGTGTTGTCTCTTTAGTTAATAGAAAGATTTTGGTTCTATGATTGCTTTATTTTTGAAAACTGGACTTGGATGACTTCCCAGCACCACCCTTAATGTCAAATACTCCCATAGTTTGCCTTGCCTGCAGCAAGGCACGAGTTAGAAGGACGTTGAAGACCTCTAACATACAACTGCTGAACCAGTAACTTTAGTTGACAGTTTAGGAATAACTTCCTACTTTTCAGCTTCTACTGTCCATAGAGTTGTCACCTTCCTGTGTCCTCCAAACCAGTAGTGGTAGGAGCATCTTTTATGTGATGGAGCTCGTTCATTCAGTAGCCAGAAACACATACCAGGTGCTTCAGAATGAAGGGTGCCAGTGATGAAATGGTATTCCTGCAATGATTTTCTCATTAATCATCAAGGCTACCTAAGATCCTCACTGTTCTGTTAGGAAACAATTATTTTAGAAGGTTGGGTTAGCTGCCATTGAATTTCCTTGGTGGAAAACTATTTGCTAGGAGTTAATTCCATAACAAACAGGCTGAGCCACTTGAGGCTCAAACCACAAATGGGAAATACAGGTCAGTGTGCTCAAAGCATTTTCCAGGAGTGGAGGAACCAGACATCCGTGTCATCTTGTGAATCAGTTGATCAAAACAGGAAGTGCCAGTGGTTCCACTCTGGGGCTGCTCTGTTCTGCAGTGTCCTCCTAACAGGACTTTTCTTACTGCCATTGCCCCTGGCTTATCCCAGCTTGTTCCAGTAGTCTCATCATCTTGATCTCAGACCACACAAAACAAGAGCCTTCCTATTGCTAGGTCAAGACTGTCAGGCTCAGCAAGGTCAGATTAAGCTGCTGAGAGTCCCTTTGTTTTTATGTTGGCTCTGTTTGGCTCAGGAGCTCCTTTTGAAAGTATCAAGGGCAAGAGATTTCAAAAAAATCTAGACTAGTTCCTGTGTAGTAAAAGGAAGCTAAATTTTGTATTTTATTTCTGTATCTGAGGATGGGAATTTTATGGGGTAGGATAGAGAGCAACTTAAGATCATATAGTGAGAAAAGCTACAAGGAATGCATTTGCACTGCAGTCTGAAGATGTTTGTATTGATAGGAGTATATTTTGCAACCAGATTATTGTAACATGGATATGTCATTAGAAACATACCAGGTTGCCTTTTTTGCTTATTTTCTATTTAGTGTTTAGATTAGGAATAGTAAAATGTGGGTTTCAACTGAACATTAATACAGGGATTAATTTTGCTTTCAAGAATTATTTTCTCTCCTTTTTCCCCTTGAGCCAAAACAAAGCAGAAAAATGTTTCTTTCTGATGGTAGTATTTTGAAGCAGTCCTAAATAGTTGTGGAGTAGGTTCCTCTAAACTAGGTTGAAAAGTCAAGAATATCCTTTTCCAGAGGTTCTGAGGTTGTAAAGATAAAGTAAGTTTCATGAAATGTTAGGTGAAGTGTTTTTCAAGTGTTGCAGTTGATACAGAATTTAATTAGAATAATTTTAGGGGTCAATTTCAAATGTATTTTAAAATAGTAAATATTAAAATAATAGGCAGCTACTTGTTAGCTTAACAAAGTTTTCGAATATTCTTAAGGTCTATAAAGACACTGTGATAGAAACATTCTAATTTTCTTATTTCTAAACCAGATATGTGTACCATCCTTTAAAAAAATTACTTGTGTGCCATAGTCAAATCTGTGTAAAGAAAGGATATTTTTATCATGTCCTTAAAATATTTTTTGAGTTTACAGGACAGGAATTTCAGGATATCATGAATAAAAATCTGAATCTGTTTAGAGTAATGGTAGAGAGGTCAGTAGTCACGTCTTTTAGGAGAATTTCCACGGTGTAGATGTGCAGAGGGGTTCCCAAATGGCTACACTTCACCAGGCTTCAAACACATTTTGTTGTTCTAAGATCTGAAATTCCTGTTCTCGTTCAGACATGCTCATTCAAGTTGCTGGTGTTTGAAAAACAATTATTTGTTTCAGTTGGCAGGTAAAGCATATGAAAGTTTTTACAGAAACAGTTCAGTCGTAGGCTTTCAGTGGGATGAAAGTGAAGTGATAAGGGGTATGCCTGTGCAAAGGAGTCCCTGCAGTCTTTGAGAAGGCAGTGTATGAGAAGAAGGATATTTATACAGGTGTCTTGAAGTTCCATGCCCTTTGAGTTGTTTTGGAATTTGCAAATGTACATTTGCAATCTGCTCGGTTTCCTCTCCCCTCAGTAAATTTCATGTTTGGTGATACCACCAATCTCTGAATTAATAAGACTTTTTAATGGGCAAAGGGAAAAAAAAGTTTGCTTTACTAGTCTTTAAAATTTGCACAGGCACTCACCAAAGCCACTCTATCACTCCCCTCTGCATGGTTGGAGATAAAGACCAGGAGAGGTCAGTCACTGATTACCACCACAGGCAAAACAGACTCAGTTTGGGGATATTAATTGAATGTCTTACTAACAAAATCAGAGCTGGGCAAGAAGTAGAAATCTTAAAAACACCTTATTCCTACTCCTCCCTCCTTCCTGGGCTCTACCTCCCCTCTCCAGCTATGAAGGGAAGTGGGGAAATGGGCCTTATGGTCAGTTCATCACAGGTTCCTGCTGCTGCTGCTTAGGGGAGGAGAGTTCCTTCCCTTCTGCACAGACTGCTGCAGCCTGGGTCAATTCTCTGGGGTGCAGTCCTCCAGGCACAGTCTGCTGTGATGGGAGTCCTCCATGGGGTCACAAGTCCTACCAGGAAACCTACAGTGTGCATGTCCCTGCCAGGACCCTCTCCAGCCCAGGTTTCCTGTGGGTTCACAGACATCCACATGCTCTGGTGTGGGCTCCTCCATGGGCTGCAGGTGGATCTCTGCATCCCCATGGTCCTCCACGGGCTGCAGGGGCACAGCTGCCTCACCATGGTGTACCACAGGCTGCAGAGGAATCTTCTCTGGCACCTGGAGCACCTCCTGCCCCTCCTTCTGCACTGACCTTGGTGTCTGCAGAGTTGTTTCTCACATATTCTCACTCCTCTCTTCTCTGGCCACAGGAACATCTGTGCAATAAATTGTTTTCATTCTTGAATATGTTATCTTAGCGGCATTGTTATCATTCCTGATGGGCTCGGCCTTGGTCAGCAGTGGGTCCATCCTGGAGCCAGCTGGCATTGGCTGGACAAGCTTCTGGCAGCTTCTCACAGAAGCCACCCCTTTAGTCCCCTGCTACAAAAACCTGGTCACACTAACCCAATAAATTACTGCAGTCTTTCATATGCTGGTTTGGTTTCAGTACGGTTCTTAACTCAAATGTGTGAAAAATCTCAAAAGAAAAAAAGGAAATGGAAAAATATTTAGGATGTGGTAGAGGATTACAAGATATTATATAGTGCTTAATAGAGAAGGCTCAATAATGAGGCTTTTCTGTCCCCTTTCTCTCTGCCAAAAATAATTCTGTATTCTCTTCAACTAGCAACAAAAATTGTTTCCCGTTATGGAATCTGTGGTTTTCCTGTAACCTCAATTTTTCCTTCACAGATTTAATTTGAATCAGCCTTAATTCCATCCTA